ATGTCTTATCTAAGCTGTGTGTGGCCACTGCTTTTTACTTGATAGTTTCTCTCCACATCATAGCAATTCTCTAAGAACCAAGACACAGAAGAGAGAGAAGGCTGGATGGATACTTAGCTCAACCTTGAAAAATGAAAGAAAGCAAGAGGTGAAAAGCAGGTATAGCAACAAAAAGTCCTATCTTTGACATAATTTGAGGAGGGGGATAACAGAAATGATAATGAACAAAAACCAAACCAAAACAAAAAAAAAAAAAAAAAAAAACAAAAAAAGCAGAAGACATTGAAGGCCAGGGCAGTCCAGAGGGCACAAAGATTCCCTTAACTCAGCTCCCCAGAATGGCTGACGTGGGATGGTCAATGACATTTGTGTGATTTTACTGCAGTGGATATACAGCTCCCTTCCTTTCTGCTACCTCTGTAGATTCTCCCTCAGGGAAGCAGCTCTGTGGAAATAGACATCTGGCTTATGTAGCCTGTCTTACCCACCAGCCAATTTCTTTCTCTTGGTAATACAGTTCAACTGGCTGGGTAACATATCTATAATTCATATCTCCTCCTGCCCAGCCCAAGACTGATAAATACTTTTCCTTTGATAGACCCATCTGGGTTACAGATGTTTGATACTGAATTCTTATGTTCCTCAGAACATTTGGAGCAGAACTTCTTTGTGCTAGATTTTCGGTTTCCTTTTGTCAAAGCAGGGAAGGTTGAGAAAGACTGAGGATGTGAGGAAAACTACTCATTTATCAGTCATTGCATTAGCATGATAGCTCTGTTGGTGTGCCTTACACTTGCCACCACCCACCCTCATGAGACTGTGAGCTCCTGAGAAGGTGTTTCCTCCCACACCCTAACTTCTCAATATGTGTTTGCCAGGGCATTTGCTGATGTTGGATCCCCCTCACAGTCATAGCACACTGGAACACTTTTTATGTTTGTGTGTGTGTGTGTGTGTGTGTGGCTTAGTTCAGAGACCACCAATAACTTCATCAAATCACACAAATCACAAGTCCTCATAGAAATATGGAAATAATGGTCTTTTGAACCCCAAAATACATTCGAACAATCCAAGCCAAGGCAAGGGAAAGTCTTTTTCCCATGCTCTGCTTTTAGCCTGCACGTAAACGTGCAGTAATTGAATAAATACCATCAACTCCTTGATCAAGTTGTTACTCATTATATATCCATTCTATTTGTCTTCTGCCTAACTCATGATGCCAGACACATCATAGGAACTTGATAAATAATAGTTTCCTAGACAATCTTTCCTGCCAACAAAAGTTATTTTAAAAATCCAGTATCTTAATGATAAAAATGGACCACAAAGAATATAAGGCAGAGGGTAGTGCAGGTGGGGAACGGACTCTATGGAAGCTTTGGAAATAATTATGAGATGAAAAGGGAAAAGTTCTCCCTTTCACTATGTTTCTACCTTCATATTTTGCCTTCTTAGAGCAAATCCCTTGATAATTATTCTTTTAAATTGTCCCAAGTACAAATTGAAACATGTGGTTCCCACTATAAGCAAATGCCAGACATCCGAGGAAGTCCATTCACATAAAATACAAAATCCTAATAAATAAGAAAGTTGACTTTAGATTAAGCAGATATATGGGAAGAACATTCCAAATGAATCAAAATAAAAAAATAAAGTAACACACAAGATTTAAAAATATGCTTACTAAAATATAAAAAACCAACAAACAAATTTAAAGATAAATTTGAGGAGCTCCCAGAAAAAAAGAACAAATGACACGCAGATAAAATATAGGAGAGAGCAAAAAACTGAGAATAGTCAGGAGACTCATTCTTAGGAGCCTCGGGTGGGAAAGAGAATAGAAACATCAAAATAATAATTTTAAGAAATTTTATAGATCTAAGAGTTGTGAGTACCCAAATTAGAAGGATCTGCTGAATGCTCAACAAAATGCTGACAAAAGACCAAACATAAGCAAAAATATCATAATTCCTTAAAGCAACAAGCTAAGGATAAAATCATGAAATTTTCTGAAAAGGAAAAGGAAAAATGTATATCTGTAAACAGCATGCTATTATCATAATACAGGTCAGAAGCTCAAAATCTGAGAGAAATATGATTCCCATCTCTAGATTTTATGCCAAAACAAATGACCAGCTTTGTGTAAAGGCAGAATAAAAACATTCTGAAAAGTGTTATCTCAGGAAAGGTTACCCAAAACATCATTCCTTAGAAATTTAGCTAAAGATATTTGCCCAGGAAATAAGGTAATCACTTATTAGACACCCTGGTCACTTAGGACATGGTGGCACCAAACCCAAAGAAATAGCCACAGAAATCACCAGAGGAAAGTGTGCAGCATTTCAGAAAATGAGTGGTCAACTGGAAGAGAGAGCTGAAGGAACTAGAGAAGAGACTTCCAAAGAGACGTAAAAACCGAAAGTTAAAAAGACATTCTTCAAATTCTCTGGTACAACAAATTACTTAAACATATCCAGTGAAAGTAAAAGAGGGATGGGGGACATGATAGAGGGATGAAATGGAAAATCCAGCAGTAGGATAAAGGGGCAAATTATTTGGAAGGAACTCTCATCTGCTCTAACATGCACAGGTTTTTCTGTGTTAATATGACCCAAATAATGCAAAAACTATTTACCCAGAACTGACATGGTATTGCAGGTGTTGTAAGTAACACAGAAATTATTAGTTTAGAGGTAGAGGTTTTTTGCAACCATTACACTGCATATATGTAAAACACCACATGTTTAAAGAGGCTGAAATAACTCATGTAAATATTTTTAGATATGTTGATAATGACCAGAGAACAACAAGTGAACCAATGACATGTAGTTACCACTTGCGGAGGAAACGGGTGAGTGAAAAAAGAGCCACTTGTTCTTCCTTACGCATTTTGATACAATTTGATATTTTCCATAGTGAGCATTTAGTTCTTTGATTTAAGCATTCATTACAAAGCATAAGTATTGCATTTATTTTATATAAAACATGCTCTGTGTGTAGGAATGAGTTACTTATGAATAGAGGTTCAAAACATTTCCTGGTCTGCAAGTGGAGTGGAGTGAGTTCCCATGACAACTCTGAGCAGTGAGGAGTCCCAGATAAGGAAGAGAGGCTGTCCTGTGGCAAGAGGCAGAGCAGCTCTGAGAACAGCAGCGTGGATTCCATGAAGGGTGGCACTGTGAGTCAGGCAGCAGCCAGTGTGACAACCTCATAGACAAAGAGGAGAGAGCTCGGTTTCTCTATCCTGCCTGGGGGTCCCAAGAGTTACCAACATCTCACAGTAGCAAGTTCAGGTTCAGCCAAGGGTTATCAAAATTTAACAAAACAACACAGAATACCCCTATGCAAATATTTTCCCAAATTCATCAGTGTCCTGTGTGTTATTAAGTAAGCAAAAACTTCCCATCTGTCAGCTCCAATAGCGATAATGATGTAATTATCAGTTGTAATTATATGTATAGTTGAAAGCTTCAGAGTTACCATTGTTTGCACTGTATTCCATTTGACTCACACAGCAAACCTAGGATATAGACAGTGTAAAAATATCACTTCATTTACGTATCTGTAGGAAAGTGAGCTGTGTAAGTCGCACATCCAGTTGGGTTTAAGATCTCTAAAATCTGGGCTCCAGGGCCGCCTGCAACAGTCCAGGCAAGCTCATCAATGTTGACAAACACCAAAAGATCTTGCAATGGAATGGCTGTATCTGCAAAATAAAGACCGCCCCCTGTAGCTAGAAGGGTGTTAATCATCGGCCCTCCCACAGAACAAAATCCCGCACTTTTAGGTCATGTGAGCCTGTCACAATTTATGCAAACATAAACTAAGAGTTTACCACCTGCCTCATTCTAACACTCCCAAGGCCCACATCACTCCAAAATGGCAATTCACTTATTGGTCTCTACTTCAAAAATCAAAGACATATTAGAACCATTCATTCATCAAAACATGCCAGAGACAGGCTACTCTCTGTCAGTTCCTATTCTGGGCACTGGGGACAGAAGGGTTAACAGCACACACAAGGCCTCTGATTTCATGGTGCTGGTATTGGAGACAGGGGAGACACAGGGAAGCACAGGAATGCACAATAAGAAAAACATCAGAAGTGATAAGTGTTGCACAGGGAATTATATTAATTGGTGTAATAGTGGCAGAGTAGCTGTTTTAAATTGTGGGATTAGGAAATCTCTCTCCAGGAGGTAACATTGAAGTCAATATTTGAGTGATGAGAGAGAAGGCACCAAGGGAAGATCTAGGGAAATACAATTCCAAGAAGACAGATGAGTCAATGCCAAGCCCTGGGCACAGAAGCAGACTCGAAGCGTTCAATGGGTGGCGTTGAGCCAGGGAGTTTGCGCCTCCTGGGTCAGGAGCATGGTGGGGAAGAGGAAGTCAGGCGGAGGCCCAATGGCAGCAGAGGGCGAGCCTCATGGGGAGTTCAGATTTGCTTCTAGGCAGAGAAAAATGACAGTGGAGGGAAACATGACAGGATAATTTGGTTGTTTCAAAAGATCCTTCTGAATGTTGCATGTGGAATGGAGTTGAACAAGGCAATAGTGGGGGACCCCAGGGAGACTTGCTGATGGACGTAGGGTGTCTTGGGTACAAGAAAGGGCCGAAACGCTCACACTGCACCAGGCACGAGGCAGACACGAAGCCTCTCTGTGAATCTGTACAGGAAGAAGAGTTGGTAGAGTCGATGCTTGCCTTGTGTCAGGGACTACACTGCTCTCTGAACTTCCCTTGACCTCTGGTACAGAAGGCTGTTCAGCTTTGCTGTGCCTGCGTGTGTCTTCACGCTGTGTTCATACTTGCCTGATCCGCAGAGAGGGAGTTCTCTGAGGCGGCTGTTCGTCTGGATCATCTTTACAGCCTTGATGATGTAACACTACACCTGCTACTTCATAAAACCCCAGGAATATCTTAACAACTTGTTTGGCAATCATACAAAACGTTGTCTGAGACAGCAGCCTGCAGGCAGGACACCCCAACATTCTTACCTATTGGGTGAATCTGGATCAAAGCAGGTCTTGTGTACGTCCGTCACCTCGGGGTCACAGCAGTCTCCATCATCGAAGTCGTTCAGTATGTTGTTGCACTCGGCATGGCAGAGCCCATCCCTGCGGTTCCAGGAGTAGCAACGGCCCTGCAGGCGGCAGTCACCCCCATCGTAGCCAGTGAGGGGGTGCTCACACTCGGGGTCGCAGTGGTCATTGCCGATTTTGCCTGGCTCACAGTTTACAAGCACAGCCCGTTGGCGCAGTGTGGAATTGTGGACCTGGTGGACGCTCAGCTGCCAGCTGATGTTGTAGCGATTGAAAGCTGCATTCAGCTCCCGGTGCTGCCGCTGGATTTGCTCCTCGCTCACGGTGGGATTCAGACCCCCATCATCACAGATGTTCACCACCTGGTACCGGATCACCTTCTCTCCCCGAAGGGGCCTGTGCTCATTGTATTGGGATATCACTTCCACATTGTCACAGGCCGTCTGTCCACAAAGTGGAGGCTGTAAAGGGGAAAGGATCTCGGGCTCTGGCTCCACATCCTGGAGAACTTCAAGCCGTGGGTACTTCCCATCTCTAAAAGGGACCCACTGTTCTTTCAGCGGATCAAAGGTGGCTGTCAGGATCAGAGTGCTCAACTCTTCCATCCCACTCGGATGCTGAGGGCTGTGCTGAAGGTGGCTTTGCGGAAGGGCGGTCGACCAGAAAGTCAGCGTGCCCAGGTGTCCACGGAAATAGTGCCTGTCCTCCGAGGTGTCGCCGCCCAGGAGCAAGGAGCGACAAGATGTCATGAAGGGGCTGTAGAGCGCACCCGTCTGGTCTGTACTGCTGGCCACCCTCGTGCCATCCACATATAGGGACATACGCCGTCCATCGTAAGTAGCTGCCAAATGTGTCCATTTATCTGGCTGGTAGCGACTGTGACCAGTCACGATTGTGGCTTTTTTCACCCGGTCGGTGCGAAGGGAAAAGAAGAAGCGAGCGTCTTGCCTCCCCTTGTCCTTCTCTGAGCGGATACCAAGGGCCCAGCCTTTATCAGTGCCTGTGTGGGAGCAGTTATCAAACACACCTGGGAAAGAAGGAAGAATCGAGGGGAGAAATACCAGATACAGAGGGAGGCAGAGAAAAGGAGAAGAAAACCCATGTAAATAACAAGAAAGTAGTTTTTAATGAAAAAAAAAAAAAAGGTGGTGCCGATTCCCCCTCTGGGATTCCCATCCATATCCCCACATTACACAGTGTGGCAGTGTATATCCCCAGAAGGAATCTGATGGCCTGTTCCACCATAGTTAATACAGAAGTGAAGTGGTGAAGCAGTTACAAATGAAAATCATCCCCCAGAATGTTATCCCAGAGGTTGGTCACACAACCAGGCTTAGAGTCCACGTCCTCCCTCAAGGACCCTGACCCCTCTGTGCCCACATCCTCCCTCCCTGACCCTGGTCCCACTGTATTCCTCAGCTTTACTGAAGACAGTCACAGACACTGTAAATGCCATTTGTCCCTTACCCTTTAAAAACGATGTTTCTATATAATTTTTTAAAAACGGTAATTTTTATGGACACAACAGGAACTGGTACATTCTCACAGAGAAGACTGTTCCATCACAAACACTGTTCCTCGCTCACTACTCCCACTGTCCTTCTCTATGGGCAAGCATGCCTAGACACAGAACAAATGTGTGCCTAATAGCATCATTCTGTGATCCCAGCATAGAAATGAGAAGTCAGCTATGCAAAGTCCTTCAACGCCCAGTGGCAGCACAGCACAGAAGCAGAGCTTTCTCTGCTAAACCAAGGTTTTCCCAGGCTTTGTCTCAACAGCTTGCCCAGCGGAAGCCTAGGACCATTACATTCAATGACTAAGTAAAGCAGGGGACTCCAGAGTAGCCTCCAAGCAGGGACAGCTAGTGAAGTCAGCTGAACAAAACCTCAGACAACACAAGGAATCCAAATGCTGTTTTGAAGGTGTTGAATATTCCCAGCAACACATCTTTGATTAACCCACTGATCTTCCCTGCTACAGCTCTTGCAGTCTGAGTCTCAGGGGAGGATTTCATTGAAAATCACACAGAGGTAAGGCATTTGCACAAGAAATGCTTAATAATGACTGCTTGTGTTGATGCATTAATGATGGCAATATCTGCTGGCTTCAAGAACAGATACCTGGAGTTAACATAAACAGTCATTCTCCCCTAAGAATGATTTATTCCATGACCTTCTGTATAATCAAATCCAATGATCATTTCCTATGGATGGTTTAAATTCACAAACCATGAGGCCTCAAATTTTGGTAGCAGATAAACATTGTTATTGTGTGTGTATTTATATTTAATATGTGACATGGAAATGATCTTGCCTTCTGATTAACTCCCCCAAATTGTGAAAAATATTAGGACCTGGATGAGATAACTCTAGGAGCCAGGAACCCAATGCAGGTCGACCCAGGCCAACCCAAGCCCTACTGCCATCACAGCTGCCTCCCCAGGTTTGCATGGTTGGAAGCAGCAGCAGTCAGAGCCAAAGCTAGCTGTGCAATTCAAGAATCGCCTCGTGCAGGATAAACACAAATTTCCAAAGCTAAAGATTTTTAAAATAGCTTGGGATTCATAACTGATAAGCTATCTGATACTTCTAACATGAATTAATAGCTTGTGATCTCAAAAATAAAGTTCATGGATGGGCACTTCGCTTCTTGTTCATGTAGATCCTGGCATGTAGCATTGATGCCTCAAGTAATTTTACAACTACCCGCCATGTGGGGGAGATGACTGGTTTCCCTGGCTCCTGGCTTCAGCTCAGCAGGTAAAGTGTTGTGTGGGATGCTCACATCCCATTTCAGAGTGTGGATCTGGTACCCAGTTCTAGATCCTGACATGAGCTTCTGCTGATGAAAACCCTAAGAGGCAGATGTGGTGGATCAAATAACTGGGTTCCTGCCCCCGCCCCCATCATGGCAAACCTGGGTGTCGCAAGCAGCCAGTCTGAAGCTTTGGTGCAGCCCGGTCCACTGCTGCAAGCATTGAGGAGCAAAGCAATACATGAGACCTTGCAGGTTGCTCTCTCTCTCTCCCTCTCTCTCTCTCTCTCTCTCTCTCTCTGTTTCTTGTTCCTTCTCTCTCTCCTCTCTCTCTCTCCCTCACTGACATAAATGAATCATCAATTAATAAATAAGTATTTTCAATTTTAGTTACTACACTTTGCAGTGTAATTGTAATTACACTGTTGTTTGTAAATATTTTAAATGCTATGAAGACATTCCAGTTTCAATTGTTTTGGTTGCCTTCTTTTTGTACTGACATCTACCTCTTAAAAGATCATCAAAACTTGATATATGAATTCCTGTATTGTATTGGTTCTCAAGAAAGAGGGGGGAGGTATACCAAAGAGATCAATATTGTATCCCTTAATTTAACCTTTCTCTATGCTTCACTTATTTTAATTAGTATTACTGAGTCATAAATATGTTAATCTGCTAACCTAAGAATGAACCATGGATCTACTAATTTGTCGGCTATCTTCTGCTTTATTTATGTTTCATCTTATTGATTTTAATAGCAGGGTGAAAGAAAGAGAGAAGGAGGCCTGAAGATAGTCTATTTACTGATTCACTCTGCAAGTGACTGCAGCAAGCTGGACCCACCTAGGTTTCCCATGTGGGCAACAGGGCCCCAACCACTTGCACCATGTTCTTTTTCTTTCCCAGGTGCAATTGGGGAAATTGGATTGGAATCAGAGCAGCCAGGACTGCTGGAAAAGCTATTTTATGTATCTTTCATACTCAAAGGTTCATGTGTGCTTTGGAATATAAATTATTAGACTTCATATATAAACTACCAGATAAAAACCTTGATGCCTGCTCGATATCTCGTCAGGATTTTGAGTGCTTTATTTTACTTTTCTTTCAGTATCTACATAAAAAAATTATTCTTTTCACCTACTTGTCTGATAAGAAGCTATAAAATTATTGATAGTATATTTAAAATGTTACTTCTAACTTCTTGAGATGTTACATAGAGAATATAATTTCTTATCACTCCAATATGTGTCTAAGCAATGACATTTAGTAATCATATCAAAAAGGTTTATTGTCCAAGGGCATTGAGATAATCTCATTTATTTCATAGATGTAACAAATATGTAAGAGGGTTTTTTTAAGTGATTACTGCAGTAGGAATTCTTTGCTCTCCAATTTAATAGCATTTAAGCAACATGTAAGAAACATCACCACCATCCTTGGATCTTTGCATTTCATAGTTCATGCTTTATCTATGGGAAGAGAAAGCCAATGATTGTTGAAATGCTGTGTTGTGCTCCTCCTAGAAAAAAAAATGGCAGCAAGTTTAGCAAATAGAATTCTCTAATGCAAGCTCATCAACCACAGCTGTGGATCCCAGTCTTGTGTGGGGTTTTCACTGGCATAAATGTCTGTGAAACCATATTGAGAACTGCTGCTATCCTGTATTTCCAAAAAAAATCAGGCATCTGGCTGCTGCTGGAAACTAAGAAACGCAAATCATGGGAGGCGGGAATCTTAGTTTTTACTAGCCAAGGAGGGAGAAGAAAATTGTCATTAGCACTAAGGGAAGGAAATCAGACCTGGGAGTAGAAATCTTATCGTGAATAAAACCAGATGATCAGGTGTCTTGGGATCGTCTGAGGTTTTCACATACTATGGAGCAGACAAGTAGAATGAGGCAAGCAAAGATTGCTATAAACAAGTACATAGATGAATCACCTCATCATGCACCTGTTCAGTAGATATCCATAATGCATTGCTAGCTGCTGATCTCAGCCGTTGGTACTAAGGATTCTGTAATGACCAACCGAATATTCATCATCATGAGAAGCTCAGTATGGCACAGACTTTGCAAGCTATGGGGACAGCAAAGGGCTTCCTCATTAAAACATGCATGCACAGTTCTCTATAGCTGCAAAGTATCGACTTCCTAAAGCCAATGTCTTATTAATAATTAATTTCCCAAAGGCTAAAAACTCTGCTCTTTCAGATATACCCATAAAATTAACATGACCTTGATTCTTGCAGAGCAAAGCATTCCAAGAGGTCAGTTCAAACCCTGTCGGATGAGAAGTCCTGTCCTTCATTCAGAATTCCTTACAATTTCCATTTTGTAAACAACCACTTCACTTGATTCCTCTAAGCTCTGCTTTTTTTAACTGTCTTTTCCTTCCCTTCTTAGCGTGTGAGCTTGTAGTTATGCCTCCCAAACATACAGTACTTGAACTTTCTGAATCATTCTTGCATATATTATCACTGAAGGAGAAAAGCTACTTGGTGAGTAAACCAGTATTATTACGACCAGCCTCGTTTTGTAGATGGGAAACTGAGGCTTTAAGAGACTAGGTGTAAAGTGACATGGTTTGTGTGACACCCATGCTGGGCAAGGCCATATGGCACAGTGGTTGCAAGCATAAATCAGAAGTGTCAGTGCCCAATGAGGTCTGTCACTTAAATGCTATGTGTCTCCACCTTTCTGGGCCCCAGTTTCCTCGTCTGCAAGTTTTACCTACAAGATAAAATCCATGTATCCCAGGTCAGTTCTCAGCATCTCTCAACTGTAAACTGAGACTGAAGAATCGCCTCTTAGGGTTCTGTGATAATTAAATAAAAACACATGTAAAGAATGCGAGTACAGTGCCTGATGCACATGAGACAATTACCAAATAGTAATGATGATAAGGCACTTCATGTGCTCTCAAAGACAAGCAAATAGAAAACTAGTGGAATGCAGGTAAATATTAACAAAAAGTCCTGTGTAAGAAAAAAATGCACACTTTTATATGCAATTTTAGCCAATTTCTATAGTGGAAAATTCATAACATCCAGTCTCTCAGGTCACCAATATGATGTTACTAAACATGTGCTGGGAAGAGACATGTACGTGGCTCTGGGGTACCACAGGGAGCCAGCTGCAGGACAGCAAAGGCTCGAAAGGAGAGCAGATCAATGGTACTACCTGCCTCGCTTTCCTTCTGAGAATCAAGTACATACAGTTAGTTTGCTGATGATCCTATGTAAAGGAGGTGATTCTGTCTTTTTCTGGGTTTG